AGAAGAAGAAGAAGAAGAAGAAGAAGAAGAAGAAGAAGAAGAAGAAGAAGAAGAAGAAGAAGAAGAAGAAGAAGAAGAAGAAGAAGAATCATCTCTGTTCCAACAACTTTACCTCTCCCTGTCCAGCTCCTCCAAGAGACGGATGGTGGCCCGACCCAGATCTCCCATGCTGTCCTTCCTTTGGAGAGGGGCTGAATGGGACAGGCTCTGCTCTGGACTATGATCCTGGCAGACCGGCTCAGGAAGCAGGGCCGGAGGGTGGAATTTCAGGTTGTACAAACTGGTGATGTCCATCTGCAGGGCTGAAGAAGGGAAGGAATATTGTGATTATTTTGCTTTTTGGTTGTCTCTTTTGAATGGTATGTAGATGTTGTTTATCATTATGTGCCCGTTGATGGCTGGTTTATCCGAGCGTCAGACCTCCAGAAATTCTCTAGTGCATTGTTTCTCAACCATGGCAACTTTAAGATGTGTGGAGTAGCTCTCAGAATTCCTCAGCCACACATCTTAAAGTCACCGAGGTTGAGAAACAATGCTCTCATGAGTGTTTGGACTTAGCTTGGTCTGGGACAGAGGTGTCAAACTTGATTTCAATGAGGTGGGATTCAATTTTTTTAACCACTGGTTCTGTGGGCATGGCTAAGTGGGCGTGGCCATGTGACTGAGTGGGCATGGCTTCTCTTTTTTTGCAGCACCCCCTTGGCTTTTTCCTGGGCCTCAGGGAAGCCTCCTGGAGGGGGGGTTTGTTCCCAGGAAGCTTCCCTGGGGCCCAGGAAGACAAAAAACAGGGTGCAGGGGGTGGGGCGCAGCTCCTACCCCCAGACACCCCTTTTTGCCTCCTGGGCCTTAGGGAAGCCTCCCGGGTGAAGCAGTAAGACAGCGAGGGGGATCCCGGCACAGCTGATCGTCGGGAGGAGGGGAAAAAAAGAAATACCTTAAGGAATGACTGGGCAGGGGAGAACACAGTCAACAATGTCGGGCATGTGCGATAAGGACTGACTAGGCAGGGAAGGGAGGGGCTGGTGGAAAGGGGCGGAGCCAGCCAGGGGCACGATTTGGCGGTTCTCTGAACTGCATAGAATCATAACAACCGGTTCTATAGAACCGGTCCAAACCGGTAGAATCTCACCCCTGAATGAGGGCCACTTCAGGATTGTGTTTGACCTTGCTGGGCCAGGTGGGCGTGGCCAGTTCGACGGCATTTGTGTTGAGGGTGCCTGTGGTGGCCTGAGCGCTCCACTAATGCTCCCAAGCTCTGTTTTCGGCTGCAACAGCTTCCTACAACCCTCTGTCAGCGAAAACGGAGCTCCGTTTTTGCTGGCAGAGGCACCGCAGGCCCTGTTTCCAGGGCAGCACTAGGGCCAGAATGAAAAACCCCATGGGTCAGATCTGGCCCCCGGGTCTTGAGTGTGACACCCCTTTTCTAGGAGGCTCTCAGTTTTCCAGTTGGAACTATGGTGAAGTCTGTCCATGCGATATGCAATTTTCATCGTAACTTCTGACTTGAAAATAGTCTTCAGGATATAAACCTCCCACTCACCTTTTAGCTGATCTAAAACCTCCATTTGTCCTGAAGACACCATCACCTTAGCCTCCTGTTCCAATTTACCCTGTAGATGCTTCAAAACCACCTGGGGAAGAAGGAAGAATTAAAAAATAAAAACACAAGAAAGTGAGAACAAGGAAGTGTACTGAATAAACCTGGGAGAACTTTTTGTCCTCATTCTCTGTGCCGCTTTCGCTCTCATAACGAGATAATCCCTAAATTTGGGCAAAATCTCTATTATCCTCTGCTCGGCGTGATTGCATATGGAGACTGTTTGGCGCTGTTTTTATTCATTGTTTAAGCTTCCCAATGGATTTTTAAAATCAAAACATGGTGGAGGAGCACCTGCAACATGGTCTTATTATCCACTTGTTACTCGTCCCTAACAAACTGCATGTACATTCTGACATGCTATAGAAGTATATTTGGAAATATTTCTTATCTCTTAAATAGAAGTAACAACCCAGCTTTCCTTGGGGAGCAAGACTTGTTAATAATAAAGAGTGAAAGCTTCCTTGTTGCAAAATTTAGTGTCCAGGGTTAAAGTTCTGGTTTGCTGGGCTACAATATTAATTAATGTATTGATAAGTCAATTGATCGTATGAATGCAGGCCGACAGTCACAAAATGGAAGGTATAATGCTGTATTTTTCTACCTCAGCAGCTTTAAGATGGGTGGACTTCCACTCCCAGAATTCCCCAGCTAGGGTGGCTGGCTAGGAAATTTTGGGAGTTGAAGTCCACCCATCTTAAAATTGCTGAGGTGGAGAAACAGTGGTATAATTTTTTCATATATAGGTTGAATTTTGGGCATACTACAGGTCAGGGGTGGGATTCAAAATTCTTAACAACCGGTTCTGTGGGTGTGGCCTAATTTGTGGGTGTGGCTTGGTGGTCATGTGACAGGGTGGGTATGGCGTATGTAAATATTATAAATATTGATGTAAATATTGATTTTTTTTTTTATAGAAAAAGAGCAACTTTTACCCAAAATCAGGCAAAGCAGGAAGGCAGATTGAGTTGCTCACAGAATCACGGATTCACTTAAAGATCTCTTTCTCTCTAATCGGCTAACCGAGTCTGTCATATAAAATTTGCTTGCAAGCAAACTCATAAAATTAACTCACAACACACCTTGTATGTAAATATCGAATTTTTTATTTTAAAAAAGAGCAAATTTTACCTAAAAGCAGGCAAAGCAGGCAGGCAGATTGAGTTGTTCACAGAATCACAGATTCACCTAGAGATCTATCTATCTCCAATCGGCTAACTGAACCTGCACTGGAAAGTAGAAGTTTCAGTCCTTAAGGAAGGTTCAGCTCTGCTTTCTAACTAATCTAAATCTCCCGGCAGAGTAGAATAGATGATGGTCGGGGGGGAAAAAGGGAAAAATAGCAACTTACCAAACCAGGCAAGTTGGATGGCTCGCATGCCAGGTGAGTGGGTAGGGAGGAGAGGGGCCAGCCAGTGGAGCGATTTGCCAGTTCTCCAAATTGCGTGTGTGTGCAGCGGTTGCAAGAAATCAGCTGTGTTGCCCGGACGGCTGACAAGTGCTGCACAGGGGTTGAAAATCCTCTTGTTTCCTGCTTTTTCAACCTCAGTTGTGTCGCGCAAAGCAGCTGAGGAGGGAAAAGCAGGGAATAAAGGACAACCTAGAGCCTGGGCAGGCGGGTGGGCCAAACATCAAACTGGATCAGTGTCAGCTGGCTCTTCGCAAATACCGGTTCTATAGAACCGGGCCGAACCGGTAGCATCCCAACCCTTGCTACAGGTTCAGGTAATCATCCGTTCTCTTTCTGACAGAACAGAAGAGAATTACAGAGTTGGAAGGGACCTTGGAGGTCTTCTATTCCAACCCCCTGCTCAGATCAGCAAGAGTCTGTGGAGCTGGGTGGCCAATACATTTGGATAATGATAATAATAATTTCCCCAAACAATCCCATTTTTGTACAATCTACAATCCGGACATTTCACTGAGGAAAAGCAAAGCGTTATTCTTAACACGTCTATTTTTACTTCCTGTGGGCGTAGAATTGAAGATCCTTCCCTCAAGGTTAGATATTATGCAAAACATCATCCTGCTATTATTGTTATCATCATTGTCTCTGAGCAGTTAAAAAAATCTAGCGAAATGATTTCAGTTGGTTTTGTTTCTTTTTCTCTAGGGGTGTCTGCATGGAGAGATCAAAAGAGTCAAGATGGATGTGGATATAGAGGATTTTAAAGATCAGTACAGACAGTCCTTGAGTTACAACCATTTGTTTAGTGACTGAAAAAAGTGACTTATGCCTGTTTTTCATACTTCATACTTTCATACTGCAGAATCTTGTGGACAAGTACATTAGAATGCTTGGTAACAGTATTATAGATAGGTAGATATAGATAGAAATGTTTTAGATAGGTTTTAGACTAGGTTTTAAATTATTATTATTATAATTATTTTAATTTTTAAATACTCTGTAGTGTGATTGTGATGTGGCGTTCGGGGAACTGTGCTGGAGTAGCTTTCAAATTTCATTGTATTTGTGGAATGCAATGACAATAAAGATATTCTATTCTATTCTATTCTATTCTATTCTATTCTATTCTATTCTATTCTATTCTATTCTATTCTATTCTATTCTATTCTGAAGGTTGTAATGTCCTGGAATCACACAATCACTTTTTGCAACCTTCTGGCAAGCATTCAACGGAGAAGCCAGATTCCCTTAACAACCATATAACTAACTTAATAACTGCAGTGAATCACTTAACAACTGTAGCAAGATAGGTCATAAAATGGAGCAAAATTGGTTTAACAACTGTCTTACTTAGCAAGAGAAATATTGGGTTCAGTTGTGATCAAAAGTCAAGGGCTACATGCATTCAATTGAAGATAGAGCTTTTCCTATTAGGATTAATATCTAAACACTTAGGAAAAAGGTAAGGTAAATTTTCCCCTCGCACATACGTGCTCGTTTCCGGCTCTAGGGGGGGCGGTGCTCATCTCCGTTACAAAGCCGAAGAGCCAGCGCTGTCCGAAGACGTCTCCGTGGTCATGTAGCCGGCATGACTAAATGCCGAAGGCACACAGAACGCTGTGACCTTCCCACCAAAGACCTCCCTATTTTTCTACTTGCATTTTTTACGTGCTTTTGAACTGCTAGGTTGGCAGAAGCTGGGACAAGTAACGGGAGCTCACTCCATTACGCGGGTGCTAGGGATTCGAACCACCGAACTGCCAATCTTTCTGATCGACAAGCTCAGCGTCTTAGCCACTGAGCCACTAAGAAAAAAAAAAAGCTATGGATGGTTATTTCAATATATATGCAGAGAGTTGGAAAGATTTGATACTAACCTGCTATGGAGGAAAGATTAGTGAAGTGGTTAGATTTTGCAGAAAAAAGAATAAGTTGACTTCTTGGATTCAAGAGAAAACATTGTCTACATTTATTGGTGACTGGAAGCTTCTTTTGAACTTTTTGCATAAACATGGAAAAAAATGAATGTGATTTTTGATTTTGTTGATTTAAATAAAGTAGATTACATGTAGTTCTTGACTTCTGACCATAGTGTAGTCTGCCCATCATAGTTGTAAGTTATGATGGTTGTAAAACAGGTCAGTCATGTGACGGACCCATTTTTATGACTTTTTTGCAATGGTCATTAAGTAAATGCCACGGTCATTAAGTGAACCAGTGGTTAGCTATGGGCATGTTTTTGCTGAAAACTGGACAAAAGGGCCGGTTATTGAAAATGTTCTAGTCCCGCCTTAGTCACGCAAGCCAGTTGGGTGCCTTTGGGCCAATCACCAAAGGTGGTGAGTTCTAGTCTCGCCTTAGCCATGAGGGCCGGCTGGGTGACTTTGGGCCAATCACCAGGAAAAAGTGAGTTTTAGTCCCACCTTAGGCATGAAAGTTGGCTGGATGACTTTGTGCCACTTTCTCCCTCTCAGCCCAACTCACCTCACAGGGTTGTTGTTGTGGGGAAAATAGGAAGAGGCTGGGGTGTTGGATATGTTCACCACCTTGAATTATTTGTAAAAATAATGAAGTGGGATACAAATAATAAATACAGCCCATAGCAAATAATGGGTTTGTTTAATGACCATGGCATTTATGACCATGGCATTCACATTATAATCGCCACATTCACTTAAAGACTACTGCAAAAAAGGGTCATAAAAAAGAGTCTAACCACATAGAGATCTGCTTTGTGACCATCACAATTAATGATCATAATAGGCAGGCTCTATTTTAGTCATAAATAGAGGATTACATTATATACATTATATACAGTATATTAATATACAGCATAGGGCAGGGGTGGGATTCTACCTGGTCGGATCGGTTCTATTGAGAACCGGCAAATCGCGCCACTGGCTGGGCCCTCCCGCCCACTCACTCCTTACCTGGCATGCACGCCATCCAATTTGCCTGCCTTGTGCCTTTGCAGGTAAATCCCTATTTTTCCTTCCCCCCCCCCGACCATCAACTGTTCTGACTATCAGCTGTGCATGGAGATTTAGATTAGCTAGAAAGCAGGAAATAACTGGATTTCTTGCTTTCTAGCTAATCTAAAAGCAGAGCTGAACCTTTCTTAGGACTGAAGCTTCTATTTTTCAGTGCTGACTCAGGTAGCAGATTGCAGAAAGATAGATCTCTGAGTGAATCTGTGATTCTGTGAGCAACTCAACCTGCCTGCCTGCTTTGCCTGATTTCTGGGTAAAAGTTGTTCTTTTTTTATAAAAATAAATAAATATTTACATAAATATTTACAATATTTACATACAAGTCACGGCCAGCCAGTCATGTGACCACCAAGCCATGCCCAGGCAGCAAGCCACGCCCAGCCAGTCACATGACCACCAGGCCACACTCACAAATTAGGCCACGCCCACAGAACCGGTTGTTAAGAAATTTGAATCCCACCCCTGGTATAGGTGCAGTCTGTGTAGTTTTAGTTTTATTAAGAAAATGCAGTAGAATTAGGAAAGGCAGTAGGGTGGGGTAGAAGCCAAAGCGGATTGTTCCTCATAAAAATTCTGCAATCAAACTGTAATAGATATGTTGTCATTATAGATCGATAAATGGAAATTAAGCTTTTA